TAGAAGTAGAAGTAGAAGTGGAAGCAGTTGTAGTAGTAGTCGTCGTCGTAGCAGCAACAGCAGCAGTTGTAGCAGCTGTAGCAGTAGCAGTAGCAGTAGCAGTAGCAGTAGCAGTAGCAGTAGCAGTAGCAGAGTAGAGAGCCATCAAACAGAACCCCAAATTGTAAGCGATCTTCGAAAGCTCAAGGATCGAGCGACTGAGTAGGGAAGGCTCCGGTTTCGGATCTCGGGAGACCCCGAAAGATACGGTGTGGGGCGTAGGGTTCTGAGCCCTAAGCCCACACGCCCAAACCAAAACGTTCGGGGCTTAGCGGAATGTAGAGGCCTAAATAATTACTTATGCTATTTTGTAGGCTCCTTACTGTAATTATATTATAGCATACCCCAAAACCCTATTCTAATTATTAAGGCCACTGCATTATGGGCCTCAATAATTAGAATAGGGTTTTGGGGTATATTATACTATGATTACAATAAGGAACCGCCAAAATAGTATCGGTAATCATGTAGGCCTTTATGTTAGTAAGATCTAGAGCCATGGTTTCGGGTCGCCTGCACCCCCGGCGTGCGCGAGTGTGTCGTCAGCAAGTCGAGCATCGGGTCAAAGCTAGTCTGCACCGACTGAAGGCACTGCTGCCTCGGCAATCGGGAATCAAGCCTTGAAGGCTGGAGTCAAGGTTTTGAAGTGATGGTTGAATGGATGTGGGTATTTGTCTAAATTAGGGTCCCTTTTTAGGTCCTCTTTATAAGGGTGCCGTACTATACTGGGGACCTAAAAAGGGACCCGAATTTAGAGAACTTCCCATGTAGGATTTGGGATCAACTGGAGTGCCAGGGTTTCAGGGTTTAGGGTTTAGGGTTATTGGATGCTTAGGCTGCTGGGGCACAAGCTAGAAGCCCTAAGGGTCCAAGTACCCAAATAGTAGGGTTTCAAGGTCCAAAAACCATGCAGAGTATGGATTTTGGGACCTAAAACCTTACTATTTGGGTACTCGGACCCTCTGGGAAGCGCACCAGGACTGCTGAACCCTGAAACCCGAACTCAGTCTATACCAAAAAACGCATCTAAACGCTAAAATCCCTGCCGCCCAAACCCTACATCCGCGCAAGCCTCGTCAATATGGGCCCGGGGCACAGGCCTAAACGCTCAACCCTAAATCCTACAGTGTGGCGACGAGGTGCTCGGCGTTGTCTACAGTCAGCCTTGACAGCTCCTCGCGCACAAGGGTGCTTGGGATAGGGGTTGGGGCTCAGAATTTCGACAGATGCGAGCAGGTGCAAAACCGACTCTCATTTCAAGCCTCAACCTGAATCAGCTAAACAACTCCCAAAACCGTGTTTTTGAACTTCCTAAACCCTAAACCATAAACCCCTAATGTTTGAACTGCAAGAACTTGAAGCCTCGAAGGCACCAACCCCCGAACCCTGAACCTGCAGGTCCGGTTGAGGGTTGAGGGGTTTAAGGGTTTAGGGATTCGGGTTTAGGGATTCCGGTTAAGGGTTTAGGGTTTAGGGCTTTGCTTTTTTAAGGGGTTTAGGGCTTTGCTTTGTTTTAAGGGTTTGGGGTTTTGCTTTGCTTTAAAGGTTCAGGGTTTTGCTTTGTTTTAAGGGTTTAAGGGTGCCCGATCAAAGCGAATTTCCAGACACGAACGAGCAAGCAGGCCTCCGGTGTTCCGTGCCTTTCGAGTCTTGAATGGCCTTTTTGTAGGCTTCGAGGAGAAACCCGAAACCCTAAACCCCAAACCTCGAACCCTGAACCCTAAACCCTAAACCCTAAACCTTAAACCCTAAACCTTAAACCTTAAACTCGAAGCCCTAAGCCTTAGAAGTGAAGACTTATGGGGCTCCAAATAACTTCACGGCCTTGCAGCTTGGCTTCGGGTCTAGGTACTTGAATCCCTAAACCAGAAACTAGAATAAGGAACCCTCAGAAGGTAGGTTGTTTAGGGTCCAGGCAAACCCTGAAACAAGCCCGGGGTGCGAAATGGAAGCCCAAACGGATTAGGGTCCCTAAACCCTAAACCCTAAACCCTAAACCCTAAACCCTAAACCCTAAACCCTAAACCCTAAACCCTAAACCCTAAACCCTAAACCCTAAACCCAAACGGATTAGGGCCAGAGGCTCCAGGTTTCTAGACGTTGCGGCTTTGGGCTCTGCTCTACAGCTCTAAAAGAAACCTAAACCCTAAACCTTGCACTTTTAGGTAGCCCGCACGCCACCCTAAACCCTAAACCCTGAACCCTAAACCTGAACCCTAAACCCTAAACCCTGAGCCCTAAACCCTCAACCACAAAGCCTGAACCCTAAACCCTAAACCCTGAACCCAGAAACCCTGAACTCTGAACCCTAAACCCTGAACCCTAAACATGAAAACCCTGAAACCCTAAACCCGGAACCGTAAACCCTGAAACCCTAATCCTGAACCCTTTACGGTAGCCCCAAATGCCACCCTGAACCCGAAGCCGATCCTCGATGAACTTCTTCAGATCGCTGTACGGCGGCTTGGTAAAGAGTGCCTGGGAGGGGGTCGTAGGGTTTAGGGTTTAGGATTTGGGGTTTAGAGTTTAATATAGGATTTGGGGTTTAGGGCGAGGGCTCTAAGCCGTGAACTCCAAACCCTTGGGTGTAGGGCTTGGGGTTTAGGGCTTGGCGATCTAGGGTTTAGTGTTTGGGGTGCTCAAACCCTAAACCCAAAATGCCAAAGCCTACTTAGACCCCCCAACTACCCTCCATTATACCCTGAATACCCATTATTAAGGACCATAAGAGTCTATTAAGGGGGCACTTTGGGGATCGTGGTAAGCCCAAAATTCCACACCCTAGGCCCAGGACCACTGAACTAGAGGGTCATCAGAGCGTGATGTGGACGGTCTCAATCAAAACACAATGGTTTAGGGATTGGGGTGTAGGGTTTGGGGTTTGGGGTTTAGGGTCTAGGGATTAGGGTGTAGGGTTTGGGGTTTAGGGTTTAGGGTGTAGGATTTAAGGGTTTAGGCTGGGGCTTAGGGCAAGAACCATTGGGGTGAGGGCTGCCTGGCTTATGTTGTTTCTGTCAGTCGGCAACCACTTTCGTGAGGGCCTGAGACAAGTACGTCTCCGGAGGAAGCTTGTAAACAAGTGCTGTTTTCACCGCCACCCCAATATAAAATATTCGCATTGTAGTATACCACGTATACTATGTATTTCTATTTGTACATGCTACTACTAAGACGACTACTACTACTACTACTACTACTACTACTACTACTACCACCACTACCACTACTCTTACCGTTATGTTTGTTCATATGACTAATCACATTATAGTCATTATTATTATGGTTATGGTTGTTCTTATTACTCTTCTCACCATGCTGCTTGTATTATGCTTCTTATTCTCATTCTTATGACTGTTATTACTATTCTTACTCACATTTGTATATGTGGGGGTGGCAGGCTGTAACACTGGGAGGAAGGGTTTACCAATCCCTCTGGCCCATTGCACCCAACCAGCAAATCTGATCCTCCATGCGCACGCGCCAGCCAACGGTTCCAATGAGGTACGGAACTACAAATTGCACAGCAGTCGGGTCTGGGACTGAAGAGACGCATACTCTGACAGCAGTTTCCCGTCTGCCTGGCACGAGGCTCCCTGCAGCAAGGCCGGTCGTTCCGTTCTTCATGGAGTAGGAACTGAAGAGTGAACATAGGAGCCAGCATCGGCCAGCCGCATTGTACCAAAGTACGATGCACTGGCTGCAGTAATGATGCCGATGATGTGGTCAGGAGCGACTGCACAGTCCGAGGAAGCATTCGCCACAAAGCTCATTGCAGCTGTTTTCCCGCCGACGGCAGCAGAAGAAGGCACCAATCATTGCAAAGAGGCGGGTTAGGGCAGGAGCAGCTGCTTAAGCTCGACGCACGGCTGTGCATGCCTGGAGCTTTGGGCTTAGGGCGTATAGGGACCTTGCATAGCTGTTCCCCGGACGCCAACCGTCTCAACCAGGAGCGCAAAACCCCAGACTCTGAGAACCCCAATCTCAAATCCCCAGTCTCAGAACCCCTTGAGAACCTTTAGGGTGTAGGGTTTAGGGCCAAGTTTAGGGCTTTAGGGTTTAGGGTTTAGGGCTTAGAAACTTTATCCAACCCAAATAGCAACCCTTGAAGTAACCCGTATGAGAGCCCAGTTGCTTCGTCACTCACCCTTAAACCCTAAACCCTAAACCCCAAACCCTAAACCCTAAACCCTAAACCCTGAACCCTAAAACCCTACTACTGGGCAGCCTATAGTCAATAAATAGGATTAAATTGTAACGCTCCGGGCCTCGGCCAAGAAAGTTCGCATCTGCTTCCTCGGAAAAGGCGTGTTTTTGTGTGTGATTTAGGGTTTAGGGTTTAGGGTCTTGGGGTTTAGGGTAAGGGGTCTTGGGGCATAGCATCTACAGGTTTAGGGCCTATGGGTGTTTAGGGACTTGGGAATTTGAGCTTTGCGGGTTAAGCTTTGGACCCCAAAATGCCGGCGGATCAGGGTTTCGGATTTGCATAAAACCGAAACCCAAACCCTAAACCCTAAACCCTGACCTTATATGTGCCTTCTTGGGAGCCTCGAAGCCCCTAAGAGTTTAATATAGGGGCCTTAGTAATTTTAATAGGGTTTGGGGGCCCATTATACTGTAATTATACTCCGGAACCCCCCAGAGTGGTATTGGTAATTATTTAGGCCCCCATGTAAGTTCAGCCCCCAATCTAGGACATTTTCAGGTGGGTAGTTACCGTTATAGGAGCCTTATGGAAGATCTATATACCTTATGGAAGCCTTCTAGAAGCCCTATATACCCTAAACTCCCCACCTGTAGTTTCCACCCTACACCCTAAACCCAAAGCCTTAAACCCCATACCCTATACCCTATACCCTATACCCTAAACCCTAAACCCTAAACCCTAAACCCTAAACCCTAAACCCTAAACTCTTAAACCCTAAACCCGAAGCATTCGGATCCGAAACTCCCGAAACCTTAACTCCGATCCGAGCGTGGGGTCTCCTGAGTGGTTTGCGCACAACGGTTTAGGGCTTAGGATTTAAAGTTTAGGGTTCAGGGTTTACGGCTTAGGGTTTAAAGTTTAGGGTTTAGGGTTTAGGGCTAAAGAGGTATAGTTATCCAACTTATAGCCCCGACTTCTAACTACCCATGAACCTCCTAGGGCAGGTTTCGGTGTTCATGCTTTCAGCTTGGGGTCTAATGTAGGAACCTGAACAATAAGAAACCATTGCTCTTTGTTGGGGCTCCTTATATGGCTCCTAGTCCTAGTATCTTGGTGTTGCAGGACCTGGGTTTCTTGCATTAAACACTCCGGGCGGAAACACCGAACTGACTTGGAGAATCTGATAGGCTGATGAGGGCGAGTTGGCTGGGTTGGGAGTGCCCTAAACTAAACCCCTAAACCCTAAACCCTAAACCCTAAACCCTAAACCCGAAATGTACTGCTCGGGTTTGCAGCTTCCAGTTTGGGGTTCTAGGGCCCCTTTTATAATGGTGCCGTACCATTTTGGGGACCTACAAAGCGAGCCTAATTTAGAGACCTACCCATATGATTTCAGGCTTGGCTTCGCTTTCGATCTAGGGACTTGGGTCGTTCTTAGCCCTGAACCCTACTTGGAGGTTCATGGGTAGTTATAAGTGGAGTTATGAGTAGGATAACGACAGCTATAACCCGTTTGAGGGACTTATAACCCCACATACAACTCGCCATGAACCTGCAAGTAAACCCCAAATCTTGCTTTGTCTTTCCGCAGCCAAGGCTCAGCGATGCGATGGCAGCCAGGATGATTGGGTCGTCCGTGTTTGGTGTGCATAGTGAAATCAATCGATTGAAGTCCTGCAGCTCAGGAGGCTTAGGGTTGAGGGTTTGGAATTTAGGGTTTAGGGTTGAGGGAGTTTGGGGCTTAGGGTTGAGGGTTTAGGGTGTTTAGGGCATACCAGGATTCACAAAGTAATCACCCTTCAAAGGGATCTCGAATTCCTCGCTAAAAGGTCATTAGGGCCCACGATGAAAGGTATTTGGGGAGCTTAGGTAGGGTTCAGGGTTTGGGGTTTTGGGGGGGAGACATTAGGCGCCTCTTTGCCAGGAGCCAATCGCCGAGTATACAGAACTCGGCAAGCCTCGCATGATGTACGGGAGGGGTTTAGGGCTTGGGAGGGTTCAGGGCCTACGAGGGGTTAGGGCTTACGGCTTAGGGCTCTGCGTGATGAGTCATGGGCAAACGATGTAGGCTGTACGGTTTGAGGGATCATCGAACTGGTTCAGGTCTGTAGAGGCATCCCTATGGGGGTGGGGTATATTATACTATTCTTTTTTGAAGAAACCCCCAACATAGTATTGATAATTGGACCCCTACATTGTGGCCTTCTCCACCTTGCGGTAGGAAACTCAGTGGTACGAAGCGACTCTAGTTTTTGCACATACTTTTCCGAATCATGCCGACCCGGACCCCCGAGCAAGTGCACTTCCACGCCCTTACAGGTACACTTCGACGCCTAAAGCCTAAACGCCTAACTGATACATGGAACCATACTTCTTACAAACGGATCAAGCTTTACAGATTTACAAGCCACGGGTCCTCGGTGGAGCTGTGTTGCAGCAGCCACTCCAGGGACTTGTCGTGCTTCGCGGCCGTGATGGTGTAGTCCTCCAACAACCCTAAACCCTAAACCCTTAAACCCTCGGAGACTGAGGGTACCAACCCCAGCAGCCCAAACCACAGAATCCTACACCCGGAAGAACGAACCCAAAAAAACACCTGCACATAAAACTTGTGAAGATAATGGAAAAGCGCCAGTGGCAGAAGCCATCACTCGACCCAACCGCGACCTGTACGGAAAAAGTCAAGACAAGAGGGACATGGGTGTAGAGTTTAGGGTTTAGGGTTTAGGGTTTTGGAGCTTCGGTTTAGGGTCTACGTTTAGGGGCAGAATTTGGATCGCCCTTGCATCAAACTCTATTCACCTATGGCCCACGTAGCGAAGATCCTACCAGTACATTCATAGTGATGACCCGGGGTCTGCTATATTGCAACCCTATAAACCCTAAACCCTAAGCTCTAAACTCGAAACCCTAAGCCCAAAATCAACCCTGACATAAGTCTTGGGCCTTAAATCCTCAACCAAGCTGTTTCGGGTGACCCGAACCAGCCCTCCGGATTAAATTAAGGATTTGGGGTTTGAGGGTCTAGTGTGCCGGGCCCTAAATCCTAAACCCTAAACGTTAAACCCTAAACCCTAAACCCTAAAGCCTAAAGCCTAAAGCCTAAACCCTAAACCTGAAACACTAAACCCTAAACGCTAAACCCTACACCCCAAGCCCTAAACCCCGAGACGCAAGCTGTCCGACCTGTGGGTTCGGGGTTTCTGGTTTGGCCGTAGATTCACCGATTTGGGGTTTAAGGTTTAGGGCTT